TGCTTAGGGTCATGGTTTAGTGGTGGGATGGCAGGGTTAGGTTAGCAGTTGGACTTGATGATCTTAAAGGTCTTTTCCAACCAAAGTGATTCTATGATTCTATGACTGAAAAGATTTAATTTTTCTAAATGTCTCTGTCCCTTTTTCCAAACACTAGTGAACTGCTTGCCTTGAGAGTAAACGTGTTGTAAGGAGTCACACAGCTAATTCTTATTTTGTTGCACAAAAGGGTATATAGCCTGTCTAGTATTTGGTTTTGCTTCTCATATTCAGCTTGCACCGGATAATGGTAAACAGTTGCCTGTGATGGGTCTTTTCCAGTCCTCATGTTTTCATCTTGCAGATTGGGACAATGAATTGGTATGCTACAAAGAATTAAGTGAGGATCTAACCTGTACCTGGCTGCCAGTACCCAGTGCTCCAAACACAATTAATTATACCGTATTCTTAAAATGGTAAGTCTAAAAGTCAAAGTATAAAAGTAATTTCACAAAATGAAAGCTGTCACTGCTGTTTGGCATGATTCCTGCCTGCCAAAGTTTTGCTCCAGTGTTGGAACTCCATCACGTTGTAGGTTGTTACACAATACTGGTAAAAATCTTTCTTCACGTCTCATCAATATCTGTTGATTTGGTAAGAGCTTGGTAAGAGTGCGGTGGGCTGACCCTGGCTGAAAACCAGGTGCTTACTAAAGCCGCTCTGTAACTCCCCTCCTCAGCTGGACAGGGGAGAGAAAATACAACAAAAAGGTCCTGGATCAAGATAACGGCAGGGAGAGATCACTCCCCAATTACCATCACAGGCAAATCAGATTCGACTTGGGGAAAAGATTAATTTAATTTATTACCAAACAAATCAGAGTAGGATATTGAGAAATAAACCCAAATCTTAAAAACACCTTCCTTCCACCCCTCCCTTCTTCCTGGGCTCAACATTACTCCCCAATTATCTACCTCCTCCCCTCCAGCAGCACAAGGGGACGGGGAATGGGGGTTGGGGTCAGTTCATCACATGTTGTTTCTGCTGCTCCTTCTTCCTCAGGGGGAGGACTCCTCACACTCTTCCCCTGCTCCAGCATGGGTCCCTTCCACAGGGTGCAGTCCTTCAGGAACAGACTGCTCCAGCGTGGGCTTCCCACAGGGTCGTAGTCTCCTTCAGGCATCCACCCTCTACCTGTCCTTCCCCGGGCTGCAGGTAGAGATCTGCTCTGCCGTGGGCCTCCATGGGCTGTAGGGGCACAGCCTGCCCCACCGTGGGCTGCACCAGGGGCTGCAGGGGAATCTCTGCTCTGGCACCTGGAGCACCTCCTGCCCCTCCTTCTGCACTGACCCTGGTGTCTGCAGAGTTGTTCCTCTCACATATTCTCACTCCTCTCTCCATCTATAATTGCACAGGTTTTTTTTCCCCTTCTTAACTACATTATCCCAGAGGCGCTACCACTGTGGCTGATGGGCTTAGCCCTTAGCCAGCGTCAGGTTTGTCTTGGAGCCGGCTGGCATTGGCTCTATCAGACATGGGGGAAGCTTCTGGCAGCTTCACATAGAAGCCACCCCTGCAGCCTCCCCACTACCAAAACCTTGCCATGCAAGCCCAATACAAAGACTCATTATATGTCTTTCCATGCCTCCAAAACACTGTTGGATACTTTATTGCCAAAGATTACCTTAACCAATCACTTTTATTTGCATCTATTGACTTGCATTGAATATTCAACAGTAATACCTTCAAAGCTGGTTTTTGTTATACATTATATATAATGTTATAACATGTACCCAAAGAGATGTCAGATGTGGCATGTAAGAAAAATAGATTTTTAAGTATTTTCTTGCAATTCTGAATTATCAAATAGTGGTTTAACAGATGGAATGAACTTACAGGGCTAATCTTATTACCTTAAAGGTGATCCGATTACCTTAAAATATGGCTATTTTCAGTTGGGTCTTTTGTGAGAAAGCTAAAACAAAGAAGCCAGGTAAAATGTAGATAGGCAGATTAAATCAACATCTGTCCCTTGGTTTGTTAAAAAAAACCAAAAACAAAAGAAAAAAACAAACAAACAAAAAAAACCCCCAAAACTGACTAAGCAGATTCCTGTCTCAGTACCTGCAAGACAAAATAGGTTTTCCTCTTTTTTTATCTACATATTTGGTATCACCCCTGAAATTAAGGGTATACTTAGAAAAAGAGAAGCAAGATCAGAAGACATGATCTTTGCCATGAGACCATATCATAGGGTACACAGGGTACAGCACTGTATGCCACTGGCGAATTCTGATACTCATTGCTGATTATTTTGCCACATAACCCACCACTCTGCATTAAAAAAGAGCTGTGTTTAGGAACATCTCCTAAAGCTAAGGAAACGTCACTACACTGGGAAATTCCCCAGTGCTATCTTCTGCACATTGCAGAGGAGCAAAGCAACCACCTCAGGGCTGAAGTTACTCCCCCTGTCACCTTCAATATTTTCAGGTGCCAACTTGCAGTAAGCACCAAACCGTACTGCATTTGCTGTCTTGCCTCTGAGGTGTTCCAGGAGCCCCAATTTTTTGAAAGCTCTGCTGCAGGATTGATGGTATGAACAGAGAAGGCAGGAAAAAAAAGCGTGAAAGAGAAGGTGGGTGGGGGAGGAGGGAGGCAGTTGCCTCACAGAGATGATGATTTTTCCAAGCCAGAGCCAGGACTTGAACTTCAGCCTCCTAGGCTTCAATCCAGTGGTCTTAAAAAAAAAACTTCCTTCCTCCCTTTTTATTGGGTTAAAATAAAAATAAAAAGTATTTGAAAGGCCTTTTTGCTTCCCTAGAAAAGGACATCACCCCTTTCTGCAAGTAACGTCAGTTTGACATTGAAATTGTTCTTTATCCTTGCTTCGTATGATTTACTTGTCAGGAAGAAAAGAATTAAAGAAAAAACACTCCCACAGAGAAGTTCCAGCCAAGCATTTGAAATCATCCTTTGAAATATTAATGGCTAATTCACAGCTACTCTGAAGCAGAAAACAGGGGAACCTTCAAGTGGTTTTATTCAGTTACTAAATATTGTATCACGATCAGCACATTTAATACTTGAAATATGCAGGTACGCATTTAGTATGCTGGCCTTTTTCTTTAAGAACATTGAACTGGCACAGCTTTAGCCTTGGGAAAAAAAAAATCTGTCCTGCGTGTGGCAGAGAGTAAATGAGAGAGATGGGGGGGAAAAAACCCTAGGTAGAACAGTAGCAGCCTTTTATGGAAGGCCTTAAACCTCTTGGACTTTCTGTGCTGTGTGCATTAGGTATGCCAGGAGAAGTCTATAGGGCTGAGGACTGAGGTGGCATTTAAACATCTCTGTCAAACTCTGATGCTTTGCAGGAACAGAAGTCAGAAGGCAGGCATATATCTCATGAGAGTTTTTTCATATCTTTGTGGTAATTTATAATTTGGGTAACTGGGAAATTTTGCTGTTCAAAAGGAATTTAGGTGCCCCTATGGTAGGTGGCAAGTAGACTTTATGAAGTAATTTCTAACCTGATTTCATACCTCCTAAATGCTTTTTATATCCAACTGTAAGTACAAAAGAAGGCCATACGGATTTGGTCTCATGTCATGCTGTGCCTTACAAGTTTAAGGAATTTAACAGTTCTCCACCACGCAACAAGGATTTGCATGTTTAAATTTGCTAGAGTTACTAAGGTACTGGAATTACACTTCCTGTTTCAAGCTGCTCAGGCCTCACCTTCAAGACTTCAAGATGCTGGAAAACTAACAAGTGCTGTAATGATGCTTTCTGGGGTGTGGGGGGGAAAAGTAACTATAATCCAGTAAAATGTTTGTTTTTCATTCTGCTTCCTTTTCTCCAAAGGGACAGAATACCAAAACTTTTCAAACGAAACACATCATCACCTTCCATCACAATAAAACGAAAGGATCTCTACATGGAGCGATCTGCATCTGTTTGGATAGCAGTGAATTACATCCATGACAGCTGCATGAAAGGAAAGACCATCTCAGTTACACCAAGCAAAGCAGGTACAGTGTCTTCACGAGCTGTGTTATTGCAGTGCCCAGCCAAAGCAGTGGTCACATTTTCTTGAAGATTATTTCAAAAATGGTAACTCCCAATATACACTTGTTATTTTTACTGATTCGGAGAGCTAAGCTTCGGTTTGGCTTCCTTGGATGAAGTCTTAACTGAAGTCAATAGCAGAAGTCTATCAGCTTTTACGGGAGAAGGGTTTTACTTTAAATCATTTGCTAGACTATAAAATAGCCATATATAGAAAAATATATAGTGATATTGGTGTACAGTACTTAATCAGCTTCCTGTGCTCTCTTTGATAGCTTTTTGAACTTCTTTATTGGTTTACAAAGAGCAGGTTGACTCAGTACCATGCACTTAAGGAATCCTTGTTATAGAGCATGAGCATTTTGAGAAAACCTTTCAAAGTTCAACTCTTTTTGAAGGCCACTTACCCATTACACAGTGCTGTAGGGGAGATATGAAAAAAGAAATCCTATTAACTATGTGCTTTAGATGTTTATTTAAAGATCCCCTACAGTATCTGATGACTGAGATAACTTCAAGAGCTTCCCAAACTTTACCTTCTCAGAGGAATCATGGTCCAAGAAAAAGCAATGCTTCTCACTGCTGGGGGGCACTACCAGTACAACCCAAATTATCACTTTGACCTCCTCTGGACACTTCTGGCCACCTTGTGTTTATTGGAGGGAAAGACAAAAACATATTTGCACTTACAATTACATAGCTAAACACAGTTGCTGAAATTGGAAGACATTCTGGAAATTTTTTGTACAGTTCATGATTATAGGTACCCTTGACATTTTGATTTTAACTTTCAGACTCACTCAGAATAGCACTTGCTTAGGAAAAGGGTCTTCCTGAAATCAGTAGAAGCATTCACAAAAGAATGGCAAGAGGAACAACCCTGTTTTGTTGATACCATAAAGATTTAGTAATTATTTATTTCCAGTCTTTTTAAAGTCTTTCAGTGTTCAGTATTCTATGCCAAGTCTTTTATTTTTTTATAAACCCCACCTGACTGACATAATTACCAAAGATTTCCTGCTTCTCTTGCATGTATAACAGCTGCATGTTCCCCAATTTAGGGAAGTGCTTGACACCATCTAACTTAAGTGCTCATCAGATCACAAACCAATTGGTAATAAAGTGGGCCCTGCCTTCAACTCCTACGCCATATGAGCTGAGATACAGAGATGCACTCACAGAATCCACTCGATGGACACTGGTAAGTATCTTCCAGTTGACAATCACTTGAGAACATGAGGTGCCTTATTACCAGCTCAGCAGTACATGACACGTACGGCAGGACATCAACAGGATGCTAGTGAAGAGCACACACAACATGGATAGCAAGGTCTCTTAATCTTGTTCTAACAGAGCCTAAGCTTTTTGGGAAAGAAAGATTAATAGGTTTATACAGAAAAAAAATGGAACAGCATGTCAGCTGGTTCATTAACCTGTCAATGAGACACTACAACCATCAGTGATGCAAAAGATGAAGCAGATATCAGAAATGCCATCCAAACTCAAATCCTGATTACACTTTAACTGATGGGAAATATGACTCTTTTTGCTGGTATCATTAAATTTTCAAACTGATAAATGATCAGGTTGCTGTGCTTTTTAAGGTAACAGTTCATACCTTTCACACTTTTGTTTTGCATCAGTTTTCCAGATTTCCTTCTTCAACAAGAAGGGAAATAATTTCTCTGAGATACAAGATCAGTTCCAGATACATTTTAGGACATGCAACAGTGAGAATACGGTGCAGCAAGAGGACAGTACCAAAACCTAAAGGAACTAAGAAAGAGGTGGAAAAATAGCTGTAATTTCAGTGGGATCTGCATGCAGCAGCAATGGCTGCTTATCTTGCCCCTTGCCATTGAGCATATCATGCAAAGCCTTCACCAGCAGGCATGCACATATGCATTATTTGTATCACTGTGTCCCTGAAATTGTCTGCTTTTCAAGCTGTGTTATCTGTAGTTGTATGAAGAATATGTGTTTATCAGGTAGAAGAGAACCCCAGGAAGAAAACTGTCTAAAAAGCAACTGTTCCCACTTCTTGGGCATCTCTGCACTTCTTTTGTACCACCAGAATCTCACATGTTCTTCACTTTATAGAGGAAGACTTATGAAATTTTGGTATTTTTCTATTTCTCTTAAAGCTGGCTGCCACTTTCTTTAGCCACTTCAGAAGGAGTACTATGAGAGGCCCACATAAGAAAGGTTTCATCTTGGTACAAAGAACATGCAAGTCTTGGAAGGGTCCCCTTGTGCATTGACATACAAGTCCTAGACCATTCTAGGACAGCCAGATAACCAAGGATTCGATACTGCAATAGATAGATAAACATGTGCAGACAGTCTGGTATGCAGCCTGTGGAAAAATAGAGAGTTAAGAGCAGTAAAAATGTTCCTACAGGTTCTGGAGACAGGGGAGATAGATAGATTCAAGTTAGCAATGTGAGGGACTGGTAGAAACAGCCACACTGAGTGATAAGAACGACTGAGTACCGAAGGACTACAGGTCATGAATATTCATTATCTCCCAGCTGATCCTATAAAGTTAGGCTGTAAACTCTTCAGAATCACATGAATGTAGGCTGCATTTAGAGATGGGACTGGAGGGAAAGGGTGAATGTGGGCATACAAGCACAAGCGTATATATAAAGCTAGCTGAGAAACGTGTTTATTGAGAGTAGGATTAATGTACATATAATGTAATTTAACACTTGGGTCTTAAATCCACTTCACTTCCCTCTTCTGTAGGAGATTTGGAATCTTTCTGTAATACTATGTTGTGAGGGGCTTTTTTGTACCAAGCTAGTTTCATTAGCAAAAGTATAGGAAGTCAACAAAAAAAAAGAAAGCACTGCAGAAAACCAAAGAGAAGAGCTGGTCACCTCTTAGTGGGGGGGTTGGTTTTTGTTTGGGTTTTTTTAGGAAATTTATCTAATTAAGAAAACAAAGCTTCACAGCAGACATGCTAAAATAAATATTTCAATCTGCAATAGCACTTCTAGAAAAACACTAACACCTAGAACTGATCAGACCAAATATCCATTTAATGCAGGATGCTCTGATAGCAGCCACCAGTGGACATCTGGGGATGAGTGTAATATAGTTCAAGCATGTAAAAAGGGGGTTTGATCATATTTTCTCCTACAGTTTTCAGCTCAGGGATTTTCTTAGATACAGGTGCTGTCTTTGTTTCAAGACAATCTCTATTCCCTGTACAACTACTGGAGCTCCAGTGTCATCATCAGTTGCACATGGACATTACTTCTGTGGTGCTAAGGCATAGGCAGCCACATATTCAGTCCAGCCACGCTCCTTACTACATCAGTCACATGGATCTATTTAGACACACTGTTGACAGCTGAGAATAAGGGTTTGGGGTTTTTTTTTTAATATTTAATTTGACCTTCACGTCTTGTTCTTCAGAATGTGAACAAGGCTCAAAGTTAAGCAAGCAGATTATTTTTCAGTATATATAATGCCTAGTTGATTTTAAAAGCAATATTTAGATCTAAACCATTGCTTACATGTCCTCACTGAGCAGAATGAGTTCATGAAAAAGAGGTTATTGGCTTGAAAGAAAGAGAAGACATTCGCTAAAATGTGTGGTAATTCCTCTGATGATAGGAGCCCCTACTTTCAGCTGCAGTCAGAAGATATCCGTGGCTGAGAAAACAGTTAATGTAAGATTATGTTTTACTGCTGCCACATAAATTAAACACCGTTTGTTTTTAGGTGCCTGTAGAAAGCAATGCTGTCAATATTACCATTTCCAATTTAAATGCTACGTCTTCATACGTTGTTCAGCTCAGATGCATAGCCAAGGATGGTCTCCACTGTGTTTGCATTTGGAGTAAAGAGATTTTAGTCCCTCACAGTAAGTGAAATATAGTTTTGTCTTACTGGGAATAAAAATGAACATAGAAGCCTTTTCAAATCTCATATGAAATAATATTGTCAGATACTGTTGAAAATATGAATAGCAAACTGCTTCATATGAGTGCTTGTCTCCATTTTTCCCATGTTTATCAGAACTCACAAACAAGCCAAGAATATCATATAATGCAACTACAGAAATCTCTCCAGGCAGAAGAAGTGTTCTTCTGAAGTGGGAGGTAATGTTCACTTTGAGTTGGAGTACCTTCTGTTATGTCCATGCTATTAATTTATTACTTTATATGAAAAAATAGACTTTCTCATTGTACTGAGACTACACTGTAAGCAAAAGGCATTGAATATTGTACTCTTGCTTCAGTTTTCACTGCATTTGTATGGTGGCTGTTTAGGTGCTAGAAACTAGCAAGGAAAAACTACACCAATTTATAAACTTGAAAAAATTATTAAAACAGCAATCTCTAGGCTCAAAATCATTGACTAGAATGAAGATTCTTTCCAGCTTGCATTAAAATTCAGTGTGCCTCAAGTTTATCTCTTAGAATTAAGCTTTCCTTGAAAGATCATCATAAGGCTTTAGCACACACAAGTGACACAGCTTGTGTTTCTTGTGTTCCTAAGGTTCATTCATATTCTCAAGAGACTAAAACCTTTTAGAAGAGCTTGGTAAATCTACTAGTCTACTAATTCAGAAGTACAAATGCATTATAATCAGGATGGAAAAAGAGTCTCTGGCTCACAAGAACAGCTCCTAGCTGCATGCTTCCCATAATGACATTTAAAGTTCAAACCTACATGTCAGCAGCATCCTCCCTCTTCTGCAGCAAGAGACATTATCAGCTGACTGACTATAGCCGATCAGTCTGTTTTACCAGCTGAAGTTCTCTTGGTAAGAAATGGACAACTGACAGTCTTGAATGTATAGTTGAGGGGGCCCACAGGCAATTTCAGTGAGCAAGGTGTTACTAGAGGTGTTTGTGTGGAAACTCACTAATTCTATCTAGACTCTGAGAGAAAGAGCATCTACAAACTCTGAGAAGTTTGCCATAGGGGATATCCTTGCAGAAAAGACAGAGACTGTCAGAGTTCTGCAATATCAGATGATGTGGAAAGTTTTGTACTTACCCCATGTATTTTTGTTAAGGGAAAGAAAAGACAGCAGAGGAAATGAACACCTTATCTGATAAGGATGAGGGGGGATCCCCTTTTCTCCTTATCTCCTGAGAAGAAGGCAAAGCTGCACAGTAAATGATTCATTTTGTGATAAAGCAATAGATGATATATGCCAATTTAAATGTTAAGCTAAGAGAAGAAATTATTCTCCATCTAAATGCTTTTCTTAAAAAAAAAAGTAATATTAAATATAGTATCAGGGCTAGGACCTTCTATTCAAGATAACAGTTATAGTATATAGTATGAAGTAAGGTTCAAGTCCAGATGGCTTCAACAAACATCGAAGGCGCGGAGGGAAGGAGTGCGTTCAATAATTAACATCATAAATGTAGAGGGGAAAAAATATCTTTGGCTCTGCTGCCATACTTGTTTAAGCCAATCTGAAACAAAGAAAACAGCTTAAAGATGTTAATGGCTAGCCATAGCTCCTCTGCTTTTGCTAATGATCACTGAGTAACCTCTACACAGTTCAGATCAACAGGCACAAAATAGCTGACTTCAGCTCTAAACACCCAAGCAGGCAACGTGTTGCTTTCATGGCTGCAAATAACACAGGACCTTCTGCAGGACTGCACAAGATAGAGCAGTGCTAGCCTTTTCCAGTCTCATTTTGCTAAGCTAAGGAAGCTAAATTCTACTAGTTTCTTCTTGTGCAATAGGCCTCATATTTCACATGTCCCGGGAATTATTTCCCCTACAGAGAAACCTTTTCCAGTTTCAAAGCCTGATGAGAGAATCGTAACAGCAGCTTTACCAGAATGTCATCCTATCTAGGTTACTTCAAAAGTATCCAACTGTTTCATTAAGATAACCCAATTTCCCAGCTTTGTGGTATCTTCACACTGTTACTTTTGTTTGAAGAAGTAACAGAAAAGCTTGTTATCAGAAGTAATCCTTGCAGAATTCACAGGCCTTTGTGTACTGAGATCAGTTTCTATCTAGATTGCAGTAATTTCCATTTCTGTGCACTCATTTTCTGATCTCTCATGAAGATTAATAGAGTAAAATAACAAGTGAACCATCACATAAAAATTTGTATCAATGGCTATATAACATGTTCCGAAGTTGTAGTATCATTACTAGCATTTATCGTCAAAGAGACCAGATGCCTAACAGAGCCTAGTAGATGAAGATTCCCAGAGGCATAAATTGCAATTAAACACCTCTCATTAACTTTCAAGTTCCTAATTATGAGGGGTATGTTCCAGTGAAATGTAGAGAACATTACAGCTGCTTCATTGCTGTTATTACTAATTGGATACACATAAGTAAGATCTCAATTAAGCAAAACACTTAATCTTGTGCTTAAATCCTCTCAATTTAAGCATGCTTTTAAATTTAAGGAAATGTTTTGCTTCATTGAGTCCTAATAACCTAATTAAAACAGTATGATTTTATCCCCATCATTAAAGGTGACATTTTGTTTATACAATTTAATTCCTCTTGATTTTCTGCATGAGTTATAATAACATTTATAGATTAATAATATTTTCCTCTTACTAGGTAACACAAAGTGAGAACGTCCTTGAATATCATGTTAATGTGGAAAGAATACCCAACAGTTGCAGGAATTCACCAGATCGCATCTTCCTAAAAGACAGAAAAATTCTTCTAAATCTCTCCATGGCTTATTATCGAGTTAATATTTCCTCCTATAACAAAGCAGGAGAATCCCCACAAGCCATCTACGTTGTCCCAGACTTCTCTGCAGCAGGTACTTACCTCATCATTAATTCATTAGAGCGGTGGAGAATTTTTATGAGCAACCTCTAGGCTACCTTTTGGCAGCCTTTGCGATAGGGTTAAGCATTCTCTTGAATATTTATTAGGCTGATATTTTTACATAGTGAGAGTCAGTACTGTTTCTTAAGAAAGGATTTTAATAGAAGTTAACTAACAGACTAAGCAATTTAACATTCCATTGAGCACTTCTTGTTTTCTCAAGCTAGAGAAGTAAATATGTGCTAGATCTACCTATCAAAAGGACGTATGGAGTGTACTCAAAGTTAAGTAGATGCCAGCAGTTTAAACCAAGGTCACAGATTTATGTGGAAATCTAAGGTTTTTGAGCTAAATAACTATTAGGAGACCTGCTACTGTCCTTTATTTCAGTATTACCTCTACTGGCACATAGGAGGAGGAAGAAATAGGAAGTACATGTCATATTCCAATTAAGATGTAAGCTTTTGTGATGCCTAAATACACAGGTTTTTTCATTTGAATAATAAAACTAGCTGTTTTTCTTATAATATAATCTAGTTTCATTTGTTATAATCTTGAGGTATTGTTACTGCAATATAAGAAAAACCTCTCTCTTCCAAAGATTATTTTTGTAATTAAGCTATAGTATGCACAAGTAAGAAGTGTGCAAGTACGCTTGTTGATTTCCAGACAGCTGCAACTAATTGATGTTTTCAGGATTTTGTAACACACTCCCCTCATTCTATTCTCCTTTGCCCTGCAAAGGCTTAACAGTTTGGTTTTGCCCTTACATTTGACTGCTTTATCTCTCTTCTGATGAAATATATACTACCACCTCAAACCAACTTTTGACTGATAGCTACTTGGTTACTGAATCTCTCAACCTGTCCTTCACGGCTCTCCCAGACATGTTTCAGATTTGGTTGTACTTCTGTGCAGGTTGTCTGTATCTATCATGAATTACTAGGAAGATACTTGCATTAAGTGCATTCCCAACATAAATTCCTCAGCATGCACAACTTTTCCTCAGCTAGTGCAGCCATTTTCTTTAATTTTACTTTATTATATTGGTTTTCAGACAGGACATGAAATAGAGAATTTTGTCTGTCTGCCACAAGGTCCATTTAGTTTCAAGTCAGAAGGTCTTTCCTAGTTTGATAATCTGTCTTTAAAAATGTCAAAATGTTTAAGATTCTGGCAGAAAATGCAAAGTATATGGAATGTGAAACTATATAGGTATAATCCATAATTAGCCCCTTCTCCTTCTCCATGTGTAAGCACTATCTCACAGTTGCTCTACATACAGCAGTTAATAGCAGCTCACAGGAGGTTATTTAGCAAGGTTGGGCTTCCTCTTCCTGAGGCTTGGAACAGCCATTTCCTCTTTTCCGATTGTGGGAAATTAAAGATCATGAACAGCAATTAACACTGGAGCTCCCAGACACCATTGCAAGGTGCTAGACGCTAAGTTTCTTTTACTGACATACCAGTGTAAACCTTACTATATACTGGTCACCTGCAATGATAACTACTTAATGAATAATTTTCAAAAAAAGCAAAAGAGAGAAAGCAAACAAGAGAGGAGAAAATGGCTTTCCTGTTTATTGATCTCTGATTGTGCATTTGTTCACAGACTTGCCTGGCCAAATCCATGTCAAACACCAGGGAACTAATGCAGTTGTCACCTGGACTCCAGAATACAGTCCAAAATGTTTTGTGGTTGACTGGGGCACTGGTAAAGACGATATGCGCATGAAAATAATAACTATGGCTACTGAAAATTTCACACTAGGTAACAGCAACCACCACATCCACTTATGGAAGTACCATTTCATTTATTGGTTATTTCTGGTTGGGGAGGGTAGGATTTTCATCCTGTTTTTAATAGCAAACTGAAGACCCAGATAGATGAAAAGCGGTTTTCAGTAGGATTCTTATGATCATAGTTGAGCAAGAAGTACAGCTAAGCTGCTGTGGCTGGTCTGATGTCTCTCCTTGCCCACATTCCAGGCAGACCTATACACTATTGGCTTTAAAAAAAAAAAAACCAACACCAAAACCACCAAAACATTCCTCTTGTCTCTAGGTAAATTTAACTTTAAATATAAACTGCTCTGTTACAGTCTCCCTTAGATTATTTCTTTTATCCCTGTGGCTGTCCTTGTCAAAGCCTAAGTTCTCAGCTCCAGGATTCTGCTTACCAAACTAGGCATGATGAGCTGCAGCCAGGGATCACTTTATGGGACAGTCATCAAAAATCTTGATTAAAATCATGTAGGTGACTCTTTTGCAAAGGCCATTCAGGACTGGCTTTTATGTACAGTAGAGAATGTTGAGCTTCAGAGTTCTATAAATGAATGGACTGTTTTCCTTGGTCCTTCTGCAACACCTGCACTGCCATATTACATCTAGTTGTTTTGCTTGTTTTTAAATATGCTAGCTGAGCAGAAAATATCTGTCCTTAAACCAAGATACCTACAGCCATTTTAGTTCCCTACTTCTTCAGCAGCTCAGGCCTTCCAGAGGGAGACTATGAGCAGATCTGGCATCTTTTAAAAGCAAACCTGTGTTATGTCTTGTTCTACTTTGGAACTAGTTTGACTTCAGCATCTAGAGACAATGAAGAAGGATGCACATATTTTGTACTCAGTGTAAAGCACTGTAAACTTGTACTATGCTTTGAGTCTCAGAAAGTAAGAACTGTACAGAAAAGCTATAAAGTTGTTGTCTCTCCTGCCCTTCTTTTTCATTTATAACTTTTCAGTAAACCCTGATATACCTTTATTTGTTTTCCAGACAATTTTCAGCCATATAAGTTGTACAAAATAATGGTACATGCATCTGATGTGTGTCAGTGTGAAAGTTTCACAAGACATGAAAAGACTTTTGGAGTGACCCACTTTTACTCAGTTGAAGGAGGTACTCCTCCCCTTTATATAACCTCATCCCTTATATTTCTTCTTGTTTCCTCTCTGTGGCAATAAAAGAAATCCTACACAAAGTTTCTTTCCCAGGTGACTTAACAGCATTCTCCAGTTAGCATCGCCTTTGGTCCTAGCAGTTATGTGCTGGCAGTGAATGACCTGAATGTTCTTCCTTACTGACAGGTCCACAGAAATATTATTATTACACATGACATTACCAAAATAACAGAAAGAGGGTCTTGGAGTTACTACTCTGTGTAACTCAAATGTAACTGTGGCCCAAGTCAGATTTTCCAATCCCAATTCAGTAGTGTCTTATATTGCAAGTTGAAAGTGTTTGTAATGAGACAGTCACAATTTCTACCTACTTTGGTGTTGCTTAAGATGAGAGGTTTTTTTACTCTGTGGAATTTCTCCTTTCTCTTCCACCCTTTATGTTATATTTATGACAACTAGAATCAGGCAAGGAGCTCTCTAGGAAGCAGCTAGTTATCAGTCTTGTATGTCTATTGCACAAGTACTGATGCAGAATTTAAATTATTACCCCATTTTTAAGTTCCCAGGACAGGTCCTGCTAATGTGACGATTCTGAATATCACAAAGCATTCTGCACTTCTGAAGTGGACAGAAATAGCTGCCAAAGACTGTTTGGGTTTTCTCCAGGGATACAGGATCAGCTACACAGATTCGTCTGGGAAAAAGTCCCCGGGTAAGTCACCATTGCTCAGAACACAGCAGCAGCTCAGAGCCACAGCAGAAGAGTTTCATACAGACCATGAAGTACTGTTGCAGCACACTACTGAGTTACTTAGATTTCTGTGGGAATTGAGCAGGTCAGCTCCTGGTTAGAGTTTTAATGCTCTAGATGGTCTTATGAATACCTAGAATTTTCTAGATATCATCTCAAATTAAATATTGATAAGGAAATATTTCCTTAAAACTTACAGTTCTAAGACTACTGCAGAATTCCCTAGTAACACCAAAAGGAAGATGTATGCTCTCAGTATTTCTGAGGTATTAAGATTTCAGTCACAGTACTTTTATGTTTCATTGCAACTCAGCCAAGCTAGACTCAGCCTTTCTATAGGACTTAAGATATATATTTCTTTTTTGAACTCAATTAGCAGGGAATATAGTTTGTATTTTTACCTGTTTTTAAAGATACTATTATTAATTTATTTTTTAGAAACATTTTCTTAAATTGATAGCTTTTGTGTTTAACTACAATTCTAGGCATTCAAATAAATAGTTGTGAGCTCAAACCACTTGAGTTTTCAAAAAAAATCCTCGTACTTCTTTGATAAATCTTTTTCTTCTGGTCTGCAGTGGAAAGTCTTCTTGCCATAAATAATAATACATTAAATTTGCACATACTGACTTTCAAATAAAGTCACAGACATGCTATGGAAGACAGATAGCACCTAAGACCTGACAAAGGAGAATAGCAAGGGTTCTGTAATTCATGTTGGCCTATGCCTTCACAGGACTATAAAAAGTAACAAAAGCTTTAAGTACGCAGTATTAGCAGGAAGTTTGACACCATTTTCGGGGGACTCTATTCTACCCCGAATACCTGTCAGGAAGTGCAAGAGGAGACAGAAGGGGAGTGTCCAAGACTGAACTTAATTTCTACTTTTTTTCCTCGGCCCTAATCAGTCAGTACAACAATTACAAGACACCCGATTGCCATGTTTTCCAGGCAGGGAGAATAACTTCATTGGAGAATTTTGGGAAAGGAAGCCTATAGGCTACAGCACCCTTTCCGCTTCTATGAAGATCTTAAATTCGCAGTGGCAAGCTTAAAAAGTAATTTCCGCCCTGTTAAAGACATTCTACAGCATTATTCTGGCCAGGGGAAAAGTCACTGCACCATCAGAAAAGAAAGGTTGAGCTGAAAGCCCTACAAAGTAGGTGAAGCAGAATGCACAGCCCTTTTTCTGTACTGAATGGTAAGTAATAGCACTGGTATTAATCAAGATGAATAACTACCGGCTACTGTAGTGAGGGTAAAGCGTGTGATCAGGTCTAGTCCTAATGGCTATTGTTACAGTAAACATCAGAAACCACTGTTCAGTATGTTAGGTGTATTTTCCTGTCATGCAGTATACACAGCCTTCTGCACTCACCACATAAATGTCCTAGGTGTGTTAAAAGCTCATGCTTCTTACTCCCAGATTTAAAATGTATGTAAGTATTTTGGAGAATCAAAATACACATCCAAAGAACATCTGCACAGTGTGGCTTCGTCCAGGTGTGGATTAGGGCACAGAAATTTTGCCTTTTCCCCAGTCAGCTACACTGACTCAGGCTCAGCCATCAGAACTCATCTAATTGTCTCCTCCAACCCCTCTTGTGTTTCAGCTGTTACTCTCAATTCTTCTACCACAAGTTACCATCTCACTGGACTGAAGGGAAAAACCAGCTACCGTGTGCAGATTTCGGGATTCACTAATGCTGGTGAAGGACCTCCAACCCTTTCACAATCTTTTGTCACGCCAAAATATGGTACTGTGGAAGCTCTATGTATCTGTGTTACCCAGCATCAATCATTGCTTTATGCACTATATATAGCATTATTCACTACCCTTTCCTGCTTTTCAAGGAGTAGCAAAGTGTTCATGCACAAGTTTTATTATTCAATCCCTAGTTACTGGTAGCAAGCACACAAAATTGTTCCTTTGTTAGAGGTAAACTATGCATCACAGAACAACTCTGCCTGTATTTTGTTGTCTAACATGCGGGGAAGGCTTAGCTAGGGTTCATCATCCGAGACATTTTCTGACCTTTTTATGCTAGCTTTATGCACATATCTTTGTTTATTGCCGATTCCTGTCACAGATTTCAGTATTTCAGCAGTTTAAATATTCTGCCTGTGACTAGTTAAGTTCAGCAGTCTTTGCTCTTGGCAAAATCCTGAACAATCATGTAAAACTGATTTCCAGTTAGACTCCTGAGCCATTAACTGTTAAAAAAAAAAAAAAAAGTCTCTTTCAATTGCTTCTGTTGTGGGTGACAGCTAATCGAAGTATCTTTTGTTTTCTAGTAATTTAATTACATTTTATGTAACAGGTCCTATAGTTTGCTGGCAAAATTTGCTTTTTTGAAAGGTGCCTGGATAGGCTAAGAAGATCAATACAGTTACATTTATAGTGTCTCATGTATTGTAATCATGTAGGGTTGGCTAAACAGGATCTCTCAAACATTTTTAACACCTTATCAATTAAACTAAAACTAACACTGCAGTAGACCCTTTTTTGGTTTGATCACAGCTTCACTCAATTGAAGGTTTCTAAATAAAAAAAAAAAAAAGAAAAGAACAGGTTAAGGTGCCTAAGCCACAGGAAAGTTAACCAGTGAAATTCAGAGACAAAGTATGCAAATGGCTTCTCCCCAATACACCTTTTTTGTATCAAATGAAGAAGATTTAAAACACAAACACCTGAATAGTCAAAAGTGTGAAGCAGAAAGAAGAAGGGAAGAACACAAAATCTTCCTTGAAATCAATGGGGTTTCCGCCCCCTCCTCCCCCTGCCAAAATCCTTTCTCCCGTCAACACAAGAAATTAAAGTGTCTCCACCGGAGCTTTTCTGCAGGACTTTATTCTTTGCATCCTAAGGAAAATAACAAAAATGCAGAGTTAATCTAATGCAACATTTTAAAAATTCAAGTAATTACATTGAATTTAAACATGCATTTACTATTTTCCTCTCCCCAACATTTCACAGGTTACTTAATCCATTGGAAGTACCTTAGGTTTCTTTGTCATAAAAGCCTTTTTCAGCAACAAAGCAATTTGAAGGTTTTCAAATACCTTTTTTAAGCAAAATTAAGTAGCTGTTTGATTTTTAAAAATAAAAATTTTTGTTGGTGGGTGGGTAGGAAAAGAAAATGCAGGCGACCTTTTTGCAAATACAGTTTGTCAGTATCAGCAACACAATCATGGACTGACCACACTTTCCTGGTGCTATTTTGAAACTTCTGAAACTATCTGTAAAGAATACCTCAGCCCTAACCCACTCTTCACATCTCAGACTTCTTTGGTTCCTGTGTTAGCAGCAGTGCTTGCACTGTCTGAGCACTTTATCAACCTTCATTAGCCTTTCAAGCACTGTGTCTCCTTCAGCAGGGTGGTGGGAAGTATCTCAAGCTGGTATTAACATAAGCAATAGGAGATGCAGGTTTGCAGCAAGGGCTGACAAATGGCTGACAGCAGATAAAATTGTCTTAATGTTTCTAACAGGTGAAACATGGCACCTACCAGTGCACAAACCATAATATTGTTATCAGGACCAGGTGGGATCTCACCAGAAAAAAACCCAAACCCTGCTAGTAAAACCTGAAACAGATTAAACCCCACTTTCACTCAAATAGTTTCTTATGAAGTCAGACCTGCATCAGGATCCTGACCCATTAAACAGGCTAGAGCTTGTCACATAATAGCATAGGGGGTAGGAATACTTCTTTTATTATGAAGTGGGGTTTTTTGGATGGTGTATTTAAGAATTCAGTAGATATATCTAGCTATCATAAAATTACAAACTTGAAAGCCTCAGACCCCCGAGAAATCCCAGGTCTTGTTTTGTTTTAACTAGATTTTGCTTACAGGAATCCGAGAACATGTGTAAAGTTGACTTGACTTTGTTTAAAATATTTCTCTTGTGGAGGAAATACAGTCATGTTATACTTGATACCATAAGTCTGATTCAATCTCTCTGTTTCTCATCAGATAAAGGCGAATTTGAAGGTTTCGTGACTGGCCTTTGCTTCGGCATGATGCTCTTTCTGGTGGTTATACCTCTCACTTGTTCTCTGGTCCTTAAAAGGTAAGAAGGGAATATTGGCTGAAGTTGTTAACAGCACTTCAGTTCTGCTTAATGCAAAGTTTCTTAGCACTGAGCCTTTTTTATCATTAAAAGCAACGTAACTCAAAAAGCCATCCCAGTCATTTACACAGTGAGAGCAATTACAAACCACTATAAGCTGATTAGAATAGTTTGTCAGAAATCTATAACCTTTTGGTTTTGATACAGTTATCTAACTTCTTGCTGTCTCAAATACCCTTGAAAAGAGTAAGGACCATTTGTCACAGTGGAAAATAGGTTGTATGTATGGAAAAAGCATGCCTTTGATTATTTTGCTGTTTCATTCCCAACTGATAATCATATCTTTTCTATTGAAATATAATCTCTTCTATTGAGATACAAAAATACATTCCAGCAGCATACACAAATTTATGTTGCCATCTAAGCAGTTTCCTGCAAGCACATTTGGATGTTAACCGTATAAATTGTACACATAAGCACATAATAAGGAGTAGTAGGTGGATGAGAAGAAAGTAGAGAATAACAAGGATGCCTGTAAGGTACGGGTGAGGTCCTCTTATTTTAGGAGAAATTGTTTTCTGCAGCAATAAAGTACACCCCCCTCATATAAATCTGAGGTACAATATTAGGGGTATACACTACCACTAAAAAAAAAACCCAGCTTGCACAGTAACGGGTTCTAAAACTTATTTTCTGATAAACCTAGTTGCATACAACCATTCATATTACTATTTTGATGTCCTAGAACACTACTTTCCCCTTTTCTCCTTTTTACAAAGCAGCAGTCTCAGAAGCTGACAGAAAACAGAATAGACAGACAGTACAACCCATGGCTTGAAAGCCATATGGCATGATGTAGCTCACTTCAGCTTATGCATCAGGAAACCCTTGCCATTGGGAAACAGACCGCACTCCACATTAAGTCTCCCATGCACTTTCCCTTTCAGATTTTACTTTAAGTTGCTCTGTATCTGATCCAGCATTTTTGACAAGAACTTCTGAGACCTACAGAGAAATTTTCACCTAGAGCACACTTCATTGTATTAAACATAAGATCGTACTTCATTGTCTGGGCCAAGTAGGAGAGAATTTTTTGAAAACTGAAAAAACAACACACAGAAGCCCAGTCTAGCACTATGAAAGAGCAATTAAATATGTCATAGTATTGACCACCTGGAACTGAGATGAAGGGTCCCAAGGATCCTCTCATCTCAACTGCCTGCTTGATTTGTAAAAAAGGACTCACTAGCCAGCCAAACACTCATCTTCGTAGGATCAACAAGGAGATCCAGTAACTCTACACTCAGCCTTCACCTCAAACCACAGCCTAAATAGAGGCTTACAGCTAATGAAGTCTGTGTTTGATTTGAAAACCAGGCAACACTGAAGCCAGCACTAAGGCAGTGTGGTGGGCTGAATAACCTCCCACAGTCTCTCACAGCTGTGTTAATTTGGGGTTTTTTCTATGGAGGTGAGTCATTGTCCAAAGCTCATGGGGGGTTCCCTGAGAGCAGCTGCTGACAGGGAGGGGATCAGCTCAAAAATGCTGAGAGACGGTCTCCTTCCACTCCCATAGGACCCAGTGATGATGAGCAATCAGGAGTGACTGATGCTAATGGGATCAGTCAGCTCATCAGAAACTCCTTCTGAAATTCCCATCCAGCCCCACTTGTGCCCCTCTGCAGGGAAATCACAGCTGGCCTCTATCAGCCTGGGGCCAGCACCACCATCCTAGAGTGGCAGGAGTGATGGGCAGGCCACCATTACAGCCTGTCCTTCCAGGAAGGGGCAGGAAGGACAATGCCTGAGGTAGGGTGGTCCACAGATGCTGGAGAGAATAGCAGCTTGTTGTCAGTTTTGTTGTTTCTGAGCCCCAGCGTGGAAAGGAGGAACTTGGAAAAAAAAGGGTTCTGCTGAGAGGTCTGTGGTCAAGCAGCCAGCTGAAATCTGTTTGGACAGCTCAATTAGCAAACTCAGCTCTGCCTTACAAACCCCTTCCTCTATGGCAGAAGCAGCTGGTGTGAGTTTTTAGTAAAGCTGTGTTTAGGTTCATGTCAGGTGAAAAAGTGAGATGATAATGTATGTGATAGCTCCCAGAAACAGCCAAACTCAAACCAATCAGGAAACAGCAGGAGCTGTGTTGTCCCCCCTGTTCTGGTCTGCGAGTCCCAGGGAGAGCCTCTTCCAGGCCACTGGTGTCATTGCACAGAAGCCAAAAACAGCAGTAGTTTGCTCTTTGTTTGCCCAGGAGCAAATACTTACTAAAACAAACTTCCTCCTATGTGTCCAAGAGTTCTCAAGGAAGATGGAGGTTTTGTGGAAATTATAGCAAATTAGGAATATACAATGATTAAACATAAAGAAAGAAACAACATTACGAGCTCCTGTCACAGCTCCTTTGTCCTTAAACAAAGATGCTAATTGTCACTAACTCAGCATTTCAGTGTAGACTGTCAAGCTTGGTCTTCTGTATTTAACTGGCATTATGCCTATTGGAGAATGTCTTGTTTTAGTGGTCATGATAATACCAATACAATGTTATGTGTAAATGGTAGTTAATTTAAATGCATAGGAAATGTCAGTCATTTAACCTGACAATAAATTCAGAATATTCCTTTACAGGCTGAAAATAGCATGCTGGCCAGGTGTACCAAGTCCAAGAAACAGCAGTGCACTCCAAGATATGGCAAGTACTCTTCTGATGGTGTGAAAAAATACCCAAGGGAGATCTTTCTTACTGGTTAATCAGTAATGCTAGTTATTACTTTTTTCACACTTCACCATAATAAATGCCTAATATCAACAGTTGGGCAGCTGGGCTAATATTAGAAATATAGGATGGGGGAGGGTTGTTGTGTAGGCAGAGGCTGTATACACTCTTTAAAGTAGTAAAGGTTCTCAGGCTTTTTTGAGAGCATTATAGAGTGTGTTTAAAGGTATGGTTGTTAAAAGAACAAAGCAAAGTTGAATGTGGGGAGATGGAGTCTAAAGAGAGAAGTTCAGTTTTTATATGCGGTCAGTTTTCACTAGCTGGAACTGATTATTACGTACAAGTTACTCAAAACACAAAGTAATGCATGGTGGCCTAATACCACAGAAGTCTCACAAGAGAGGCCATGTATATGGTGTTTTCTGAAATTGGCTCACAGAATCACAGAATGGCAAGGGTTGGAAGGGACCTCCAGAGATCATCCAGTCCAACCCTCCTGCTAAAGCAGCTTCACCTAGACCATGTTGCACAGGACATCATCCAGATGGGCTTTGAATATCTCCAGAGAAGGAGACTCCACAACCCCCCTGGGCAGCCTGTTCCAGTGCTCTGTCACCTTCACAATAAAGAAGTTCTTCCACATATTCAACTGAAACCTCTTATGTTTCAGTTTGTGCCCATTGCCCCTTGTCTTGTTGCTGGGCACCACTGCAAAAAGTCTGGCTCCATCCTCGTGACATCCACCCTTGAGATATTTGTATGTGCTGATTAGATCCCCTCTCAGTCTTCTCCAACCCCTCAATCTCTGTCCACCTCCAGAGCAATCCAGGGGCTCTGACTGGTCAGCTGGTAGCTGGCTGAGGAGCACCTAC